CTGTTTTTTTTTGCAGAAAGTGGTTTTTTTTTTTTTTTTTTTTTTTTTTTAATGCACTACCGGTTTTCTGAGGCTCGACAACAAAGTCCGAGGCTCAGGAATGATCGGGCTACCTGTAGTCCGAGCCTCGGACTTGATAGCTGGGCGAGGCACTGGTGGTTGAAGGAGAGGAGGAGGGGAACCAGAATCTCCTTACTTTTTTGAGTAATACATGTAGAAAAAAAAAAAAAAATCGATGTGTTTTGAGTCTGGTTAGGTTTTTGATTTTTTTAAAATAATTTAAATGCTCAAAAAATAAAACTAAAAATATAGGGATGTAGGGCGCAAAAAAATCTACATCTCAATTTTTTTTATTGTTTTTTTATATTAGTTCTTGCTAGCGAAAAAACATTTCGGGGGTCGAGTTGAACCCCGTTCTAACGCGGTCTAGCGCGAAGTTGTAACGGGGGTTCAGCGGAAGTTGAACCGTTCAACGGGAAACCCCCGTTGAATCCAATTTCGGACACATAGCTCGCAGTAGCTTATGCCGCTCAGCACTAGCGGCACTACCTGCAAGGGGCACCATTCACGGTGCGCACGGACAACTCTGTTGTCCAGGCTTTTCTGACAAAACCGAAGCTCACTCCTCGACAGGCTCGCTGGTGGCGCGACCTATCCGAGTCTAGTTTCACCACTGAGCACATCAAGGGTGAGACTAATCGGATCGCAGATGCCTTATCTCGGCGCCCTGACCACGACCAGGAGCAGATCCAGCTCTCTTCCATCTCGGTCACCACCGTCCACCACTCGGTGATCGAAGAGTTTCACACTCAGTACCGCCACTGCCCCGACTATCGCGACATCAACGCGACCCTTCGGAGTGGCAAGACCGCCCCGAACTACTCTCTCGAGGACAACGGTCTTATGTAATGGCACGGTTCACAGAGCACCAAAGAGCCCCGTATTTGTGTTCCCTCGACTGGACAGCTACATGTCCGAGTAGTTGCAAAGTTCCATGACCAGGCAACCGCCGGTCATATGGGCTTCCACAAGACGTTGGCTCGTGTGAGCCGCCTGTACGTCTGGCCGAAGCGCAAGGACTTTGTGAAGGACTACGTCGCAGAGTGTCCCACTTGTCAGGAGGTGAGCAGTGCGAACCACCTTCCTTATGATTTGCTCCAGCCTCTTCCTATCCCTAAGGGTCATTGGCAGTCCATCTCGATGGACTTTATCGGTCCTCTTCTTCCTCCGAGCCCCCGCGGTCATGATGCTATCTTGGTCGTCGTCGACCGCTTCACGAAGCGTGCACGCTTTGTTCCGTGCCGCTATGCCATCAGTGCACGTGAGGTCGTTGACATCGTGTTTGACCGAGTCGTGCGTGACCACGGCTTACCTCTGAGCATCATATATGATCGTGACCCACGCTTTACCAGCCGATTCTGGCGACGGCTCCACGAGGTTTACGACACCCAGCTCCGCTTCTCCTCGTCTTACCATCCCCAGACTGATGTTCATATCGAGGTCACGAACAGGACTCTCAGAGATATTCTCCGAAAGATTGTTCGTAACGACCAACAATGGGATTTCCATCTTGCCCACGTGGAGATAGCGTACAACCACACCGTCTCGCCAGCCACGGGGATGTCGCCTTACTATTGCAACCTCGACTATCACCCTCGTGTTCCCGCGGACTTCCTTCGACGGTCACAGATGCACCCCGACACGAGTTGTCCCGCGCTGGATGATTGGGTTGCACACATGACGTCGATCATGAAGACCGCACATGAGCACATAGTCGCTTCCCAGACTCGCATGGCCGCACGTGCGAACCGATCGATGATGGATCATCCATTCAAAGTCGGTGATGATGTGCTTATCGACGCCCGCCACTTACAGCTCGAAGCGGATACGCTTTGCAAGTTTTTGCGTCACTTCTTTGGCGCATGCCGCATCCTCCAGGGCGTCGGTTCTGATACGGCATCTAGCCTGGTCAGCTTCCGTGTGAAGCTGCGCGACTACCTACGCCAGGCTCGTGTGCACGATGTCTACCACGTCTCGTTACTGCGTCCCTACGGCAGACCGTCTGAGCGTTTCGTCGGACGCCCATACGAGCGCCCTCTACCCATCATGGTGGACGGCCACGAGGAGTTCCTCGTTTATGACATCATTGGTCGCCGAGTCACCGACGACAACCCTCCTCACACCGAGTATCTCGCACGTTGGAAGGGTTACCCTGATTAGGAGGCTACCTGGGAGCCCCTCGAGCACTTGTAGCATGCTCGCATGTTGGTGCGTGCCTATGACCGTGCTCGTCGTGATGGGTCGACTGCTTCCCCTCAGTCCACTGACCCTCCTCCTTCTCCCTCGGCTGAGGAGACCGCTGAAGTCGATCCTGCTCCATCTGAGGCAGACCTTCAGCAACAACCGGATGCTTTTGAGCATCCACAACACACTCGCCGTCGTCCTGCTCGATACGACGATTGACTTTGACTTGCCTTCCCACGTCTTTGACTTCTCAGTACTCCATCCACTCCAGTTTTGCTACTTCAGCTCGTCGACGTTGCGGGTCTTCCTCGACAGCATTCCAGACTTCTCATCATGGACGTCATCGGCTACTTCATGGACTTCGTCACGATCATCTCTGCCTACTTCAGACCTCATCACTCTCTTACCACCTTACCTTGTACAATACCCTGGTTGTGTCGCATGATGGTCTCCCTTTAGCCGGGTTCCTCTGAGTTGGGCTCTCCCTTGGTATACGCATAGGCATCGGGATCGTAGCGTTGTGCTGGCTTCCCATCTTACGGATCTAGCTCCGACTTCCCTCACTTTAGGAGTCATTTGCATGATTCCCTTACCCATCACCTTTCTACCCTCTGCCGGCCCTTACGCCATAGTTAGGCAGCCTCGCATGCTTCATTTAGGTGCGCCCAGTATACCAGACTCCCTTGTTCCCTTGCATGGTCGACCCTCCATAGCGGTCACCCCTTAGTCGAGCATTACCCGCCCTGATGGTCTATCTGTTAGGGTCATTGATTTTGTTCGCTCCCAGTTCCCTACCCTCATTGAGCCTGATGACATGTGTCCCCCCCTGTCACTATGTGTGGATGCCCTTAGGAGTTATCGGCCCCCAGGCTGCATTCGCCACCCTCAAAGACCATCCCACCCTTTGGTTTGCGACACACTTCTCCTGTGACATATGGTTGACTTGTTGTTGCTTTGTTGCTCTCAGACTGAGGCTACTGCCTCTAACATTTTTAGGATTTAGTTGTTCTGCTTTTGTTGTTCTTAGGACTTATACACTAGTCCGTTGTTTCCAGACTAAGGCTACTGCTTCCAACATTCTAGGACCTAGCTGTCATTACTTTCTGCTTTCCTAGGACATGTATGCTAGTTAGTTGCTTTTGCTTTCACTTAGACTGTTAATTGTGACATTGCTGTTTTGTGACATTTTCTATTCTAGGTTGCATCGCATGGACTCGGCATGGAGCTTCCTCCGCATCCTAGACTACTAAGGTTTTCTTTTTCTTTGGTAGGGTTCCGCTTCTCGGCGGAAGCGTGTTTGTATCTAGGCGATCCATCACAGTCCGAGGATCGTGTAGCGGACCTCTGGTTGGCCTGTGAGACCAACCCCTTGGCCTGTCCTCACAAGCCTGTGTTGTATTAGGGGCAGTCCAGTCCAGGCCGGTACCTCTGTCGGTACCAGCCAGTCCAGTACAGTCCCGTCAGTCCGCTGGGGTATACCCCTGCAGTTGTCTGTTTTCTGTCTCATTCTACATTCGCACAGTTTGGAGTACGTGCATTGGAGTCTGGCGTGGGAGCTGCGTTGTGCCATCTCGCTCTCCTTCTTCCTCCATTTCCATCTCTATCCCTGGCGGAGCACCACACCCGGTGGGTCCGCTACATTTCCGGATTGGTGAGCTGGAGGGGATCCTGTCGATCGTTAGGAATGCGAGGAACGTGCCTAGACATGATGTCGAGCACAAGGATGTTTTGTTGGAAAGAGAACTGAATGAAGCTTTTAGGAACTGGGTTGGTAACATGAAATTGGCTGAGTCCGCAGTTCACTTCACAAGGGAGGAAGTGCAGTGTGGCTTTGTGAAGAGGACGAACCAGGTGTATACAAATGGGATGGAGGAAGTCCTGCACGTGAAGGAAAAACTGAAGGGTTTGGTCCTGGCACCCTTGGATCGTAATCCGGGTGACACGTTAGTGCTGTGCCCTTTGCTGTATGATAAGGGCATGGAGGAGACCTTTTTCCTGAGTGATGGCTACCGAGTTTGCATTGAGGAGGAGGGCAGCTTTTGACTTCGGCACACTGGAATATGAAAGAAGTAATCTGCATGCACACGGGAAGTGGAACACAAATGGAAAAGTAGGGAAGGCTTACGCCTTGCCGAAGCACAAAGATACGGATAAGTATCGCCCTATCTGTCCTACGTTCGAAGAACCTGCGGTTAAAGCATGCAAGATGGTTGCGAAGGACATAAATGGTTTGTTGTTCGCTTTTAATTTACCAGAATCTGGGCATTTCAACTTGAGATCGGTGGCAGATATGAAGTACACAATGAAGGGAATCAACAACAGATTGGGAAGGAGTAGGAAGAAGGTGGAGATCATGGGGGCGTCATTTGACATTAAAGATATGTTCAGTCACCTTCCGCATGCGACTATAAGGTCAACAGTCGAGTGGGTTGTGTGGTGGTTTTCAGAGAAGGGATTCAGCGGGATTTTTGTGCACAAGAGAGGCAGAGGTGCGCAGTTGAGCAAGAGTAAAAGTTTGGAGGGTTTTGTTTTTCTGACCTTCAGTTACATTGTATCGTTTGTATCTTTTGAGTTGGAATTTTGCTTCACGAGAGCATGTGGGATTCTATTGCAACAGATTATCGACATCCCAATGGGAAAGAGTTCAAGTCCCCCGTTGGCTTGTCTGATGTGTGCAAAAAGCGAATGGGATTTTCTCCTGACGATCGGTAGTCAGAAGTGGGCCTTTGCGGGAATGAGGTCTGTAGATGATGTTTCTGTTTTCGCTGCATACAGCCCAGAGAAAGCAGGGGATAAGACAAAGGCTCTACAGACACTGATCCGGTTCGAGAATTGCTATGATAAAGCTCTTACTCTCAAAGGGACAGACGAGGGGAGAGAGAGCTGGATTTTCTTGGGATGCAGAGTGACATTCGGGAAGAGACCTCCTTTCCTTGACACAGTACAGGTTTTGAAAAATGAGAAAGAACTGAGGGAAGGGGGAAGTCTACCTTTCCGCACCTTTCAGGATTTCGAGTCATGGTCGAGTAAGAGGGCAAAAATGGCAGTGGTCATTAGTGCTTTGCATCATATTGACCAGAATTCATGCATGGGTTTTGAGTTGCTCGACACAGTGATTCTGCTGAAATCCTAGCTGAGAAGATGCAATTTCCCGAGCCATTGGTTCGGAAGAATTCTACGGAGCTTTAGCCGGGACAAGAGTCCGCCTGGAGAACGATCTCGCTACTATTTAGGGAGAAACATGGTCGGTAGATTAGCGTTTTGACTAAATACTAGCTTGGTTTCATGTGTGTCGATTTGAGTAGATGGACTTTTGACAGCCTGTTTGTTTGTATGGTTCTATTGAACCTTGGGTTATATGAACCGTTTGTTTGGTTTATGTGGACCAGGGACCGCCCTTGGTGGTATCGGTACCGTTCTGGACTGACCGGGTACGTACCAGTACCTGAGATAAGTACTATTGACTCTGGAAGGTACCCGTACTCCTGGCCTGTACTTTCGGATTTTTCCGTGGACTATTTTGAGGTTTCTTAGGTTTGAACCAGGGATCTCTGCGTGGTTGAGTAGAGTGTTTTATCGGGCGAGTACCAGTACTTTCCCGTACTGCTGCTCAAAGTAACTTCGGCCGCTGTAGGGCGCCGGCCCGAATCGGTTTTGAATCCTCGAACTAGGGACCTATTGAAGACTGGAGTAGATGTCCACCTGTAGAAGGAGGACGGGATGGGCCTTTGTGAGTGACGTACAGCATAAATAGTAGGATGAAGGAGTAGCTAATCCTCTTCGCCGTTTGGCGTTCGACACAACCAGGGAAAGCGAGGCAGGGGCGGAGGTGTGGCGGGGGGATGGTAGTGGTTTGGTTGTGTTCTCAACACTCATCCTCATCTTTGTGGAGCACGCACGACCACGATTAACCCAATTGGTTAACGTGGGTCTCATCTTTGTGGAGCACGCATGACCACGATTAACCCAATTGGTTAACGTGGGTCTTCTTTCAGAATTAAGATGTTGATTGTTGATGATTTTGCAGCATTTGGGCTATGTCCAGTGTGCTGTTGACTGTGTGCATGTGCTTACTTTGCGCATCGCGTTTGCAGTTCTGCTATCCTGTTAATTCATCAGGTGTCCATTTTTTTATTATTTTTTATTTTTTTATTCTTTTATGGTCAGTGATGTTCTGCTGATTAGGTTTTTGGTTGGGGTTACCGATCAGACGTACTTAGGGTATAGAGTTGGAATTTTGTCAATTGTTTGTGAACTTTGTCCATGGGTAAGTAGAAGGAGACCATTGAATATTTTGCTTTTGTGATTTTGGTTGGTCTCTTGTCACCTAGCTTGGTGGTTTGGTGAAGGGGTAGATTAGGATTTGAGTCATTTGACTTCTTTGAAAGTAGGGATCGCAAATTTTGTTTAGGGTTGTGATTGGGATTGGTTGTTATAACTTTGTTTTGGGCAGCAGTAGGGGTAGGTATGGCCGGGAGTGCCTTGCTTAGCCTGTTTGCCGCAGCAAATGATGTAAGGGACGCCGGGCTCATTTCCCAGCTATATGAATATGAGAGTTTTTTCTATTAGAAAAAAAGGAAAAAAAGAGAAAAATAAACATAAATAAAAATAGGAAAAAAAAAAACAGGGTAGGGGGTAGGGTAGGGAAGCGTAATCATGAAAGAAAGATGACCCCCTCACCGGCATACACAAACACAGTGGCAGGACTTCCGACAATATCGCTCCCATTTAGTTGGGCATAAAGGTTATAGCTTCCTGCGACCTCTGTCTGCAATTGGGCTTGAAATTTCCCCGAGCCCAGGTATGTGAGTGGAACCTCCAACCGGCTCTGTGCACTAGCCTCCGCACCCAACTGAGATCGTGGGATGGCGAATGCGCGGAGGTTCTCTCCAATGTTTGACAACAGGTCACTGCCCGCAGAATCTCTGAGCTGAATGAAAACAGTAAGGGGTTTGTTCGCCTCAACACTCACTTCGTACGGGAGAATGGCAGTTGTCAAGTAGGAGGGCACACCTATACATCACAAAAATTGGGATCAGGTCA